GCTCTATATTGTCGTCACCATTACTGTTTGTTTAGTGAAGTGTGAGAATGGTGAAAGGATTCTGTATGTAGATCGCCAAGAACGCAGCATTGTAAAACTGGTTAGTTGAGCAAATTGAGAAGTCTTAGACTTCACACACAATGCAGTCACAACTGAAAAGCGAGTAGATGGTGTTAGCTACATGTCTAATGTGCTTATGAAATAAATCGTGGCTTTGCATCATACAAGGGAGCACACTCGTACTTCACAACAATATAGGGCTTGTGTGGAGGAAATTTTACATTAGCAAGCGATGTCAGTTCAAAGTATGTAGCCATCATCCATTGTACTACTGCATCATGTTCACTAGGTCATCCCTGTCTTGTCTCCTTGCTTTTTATGGCATCCCTATATTATTCCCACACTTTTTCATTCGAAGAATTTTTGATTTAATTGTTATAATTATTATTAAATCTTAACTGCGTATGTACATATCCCTCAAGTATAACATTGTGTGCTTGGCACTAAGTTGTCAAAACTCATACATAGTGGCCTTTTCTTAGTGCATGCACACCCCCCAAGGGTTATAATCTGCAAGAAAGTTTTGTTTTCACAAAAGTCATTTCTACAGTATGGTTGGCTTATATTAATTATTATGATACAAAGAGACATCAATGTAGTTCAGACAGCAGTTTTTCATTTGAAGAACTGAATTCGATTATTGTTCGTGTCACTGACATACGCACAACCCTCAGACTGACGGCAACTGCATATGGATCGTCAAACTCTCCATCATTCTTCCCCTTCTTGCCAAACGACCTGACGTACTTGTAGCACTCATCAAACAGCGACACACGATTAGAGTAGTTCTCTACTACATACACCCAGTCATCAGGTCCAGCAGCCACGCCAATTGGCCCCCGCAACTTCTGGTCTGACTCTGTATGACGAGATATAACACCCACTAGCATCAATGAAAAGCACTAAAGTGCAAACCCTCGGCGAACTGGGGATGCGCGGTATATCCGCTAATTGATGGCTGGGCTGCTATTAGTATGCGTTTACTCGTGGTCTCCCGCTAGTAGCCAGAAAGCGTTCCAGTGAGTCTTTGATCGCTACCTTTTTCTCTAAGAAGCCTAAACCTGCTCAAAATGATCAATCTACTTCAGAAGACAGTGTTGACAGGTGAAACATAAACTATAATTGTAGCTTAAATTGGAATCTGCATTGTTACAAACTACAGCAATCTTCAACCTGAGGCTGGTGAATTTTCAGCACCATCGGTCAGTCATGTCCCAGTTAATTCATCAGAGTCCTTTCCTACTGAATCATCACAATTTGATATAACTGATTTGGGTACAGTAACTTCTCTCTCTTCCCTCTCTGAACGAGCAGAGATATCGAATTCTCATCAACATGGGTCCCAAGCTCAAGGAGTACCCCGCCAATTCATACAAGCGACGTTTTCAACCCCATTGGAGTGAGCATTTACTAGATTTTCTCAGCAAGTACAGTCCTGAGCTTCAGTCCCACATTCTCCACTCACCAAGAAATGCAAGGTATCTCTCACCGCAAATTCAAAATGAGCTTATTGCAATAAATGGTGACATGATCAGGAACTCAATCGTTGATGAATGCAACTCTTCTAGTTTCTGGAGTGTCATGGCTGACGAAACCACCGATGTTTCGACAAAGGAACAAGTGAGTGTGTGTCTGCGGTACATTAGAAAGACACACCCGCATGGTCTTAAAGTCTGTGAAGAATTTCTGTGTCGGTTGCAAATGCAGAAGCAATCACATCTGCCATTATTGGCTTAGTAGAGGGTGCTGGCTTGAGCATGGATCAGTTGGTTGGTAAGGGATTTGATGGAGCATCAACCATGAGTGGGCATGTATCTGGAGTATCAGTTAGGCTTCGAAACCTCTATCCAAAAGCCAAGTACTTTACTCACTGCCGTAACCATGCTTTGAATCTTGTCCTGATTGCTGGCTGTAATAATGTCCCTGTCTATGGCGGAGAAGAAGTAATTGCTACGAACGTACTCATCGGAATCGCATTTGCACAGTTCTTTGGTCTTGTGCTCTACAAAATACAACTGGCATTTGGATTGCGTGACAAGGTTAGGAGGCTCAAATTTCGTCTTCCCTGGAGGAGGGAGGTAGCTCTGGAGAATTCAAACAAGTGGGAGAGGAGCCCCATACTGGGGAGGGAAGACAGCGATGACGAGGAAGAGACGATTAACTCACTAGAAAACAGTATTGTGTACACTTGAAATAGTTTTAGTGTTACAGTAGAAGAGCCTAGGTTAAGCAAGGAGACTATAGTATTCCTGGATCACACTATGAATCCTGTAATATGTCGTCACATTTGCACATCAGTAATATGTTGCCTGTACCTTAGGAACCCAGCACTATATAGCTACCTCACTTTCCATTTCATGGGAAATTCTGAGTAGCTAATATATTTGGCCCCTGCTCTCTACAAGGATTTACGAGTGTGTGTATGCGTTGCGCATGCTCAGTTCCTCTTGCATGTTAGTGTTGTAACAGTGGTACACGCAATCCGCGCTAGCTAGCGACTCCTCGTGGACAGTGGGTCCGCCATGATATCACAGAGTGCATGCTCCTAAGCGTGCTATGCTGCCCAGACCGCTGCGCGTGCGCGCATGACTGACTCCGCCCCCCTGAAAGTGCTGAGTTGGCAGTATATTGGGGAACAAAGGGTCTTTGTGTGAAAAGTGAGTGGTATACTGTATGTTTCACCCAGTCACCTCGTATGCTGGGCGGCACATTCATAATTGCAGTCTTAGTATCTATATGCTTGAGCCAGAAGAAGAAATGTCTGCCACTGAGTCACCCACACACTTGGATTGAGTATGTGACTGGCAGCATGGTTACACCATCGTTTACTAAATACTGCAGGGTTGCACAGGCAAGCAAACTGGATTACACCATTGAATCGTTTCAGCATCCAATTTTGGTTGCACTCATTGGAGGCAGAGTACTATAGCTTCGGTCTTCCGATTTCACTGAACCTCTTCTGCCTCTGGAATGAGTAGTTTCACATAGTTTTGAATAGCTGATGGTAGCTAATACGGACTCAGTGTTTATTGCAGACAATCCCATAATAACTTCAAACACACATAAACCTCATTTTTTTCACATGTGCAGGAAAGAAGGATAGCATCGGATCCCTCATCACAACTGGCTCATCATTTTTTGATTTACTTCAAGTACTTGCCTACGCAGTCTTTATTATGTTTACACCGTCAATCTATCAGTTTGTCACGACACAAAATAACTCCTCCGAGGAATTGGAGGTAATATTTTTGATACTAAGCAGCAGGAAGAAGTAAATTCATTTCCTCCTGATGCAGATGGTGAGCATACACTGTATATACTATACTGTACACTTCCTTCACATATTTCAAGTTGGTCAAGTGAGTGTGAAAAGATAATTTATATGCCAGTATGTATAGTGGTATTGGAGGTAACTAGTGTATGCATACATCGTTCTTTCCACTTCCCAGAATTACAGCTGCTTCAAATGATCCATTCTTTGGAGCTTGCTGAGCTTTTGCTTGCCCCTCGAGCAAAATATCACTTATGCATCGTTTCTCTGTAAGTCAACATAAATAGTATCATGTACATCACTATGGACGAATTGTTGTTATAGAATGAGCCTTGATGAGGCTGTGAAGAAAATCACTGAAAACCACGTTTACATCGCTGTGGTTACTTCCGATTCATCAATACAAGTTCACTTAACAGCAGAGAGATGCCTGTTTGGAAAGGCAAAGAGTCCAATAAATGCAATAAGTTAGTTTAATTTGGGCATATTTTGCTTTTAATATCGCTTACCCTAAAGCACTGTATCAACTTTGAATATTTATCCAACATTTTGTATTAAGAATTGTAGACAAGCAAAAGGTACCAGAAATAGTTAAAAGGACTCTAGCATCATTAGATAATATGCAATTTTCTTCTTTTTTCTTTTTCTATCTTCTGCTCCTTATCGTAATCATTGCTCTTTGTATCTCATGCTCTTTTACTGTGAAATATTTTTGGTCACTTCAAGAGTAAGAGCAATAGCGCTACTGCAACAATGAACAGCGCTGCTAGAGCACCAACTGCGTTTTGTCGAACACCCTATGAAGAATTGAAGCAGCACCTAATGCATGTTTATGAACACCCCAAAGGGTGTATTGTAGCATCAAACAGAAAGGCTAAATAGCACTCTTATGGGCGTACGTTGCCCCAGAAAGGGTGTTCCTGCACACTCTTATGGGCGTACGTTGCCACAGAAAGGACGTTCCTGCACAACCTTATGGGCGTACGTTGCCCCAGAAAGTGTGTTCCTGTACACTCTTATGGGCGTACGTTGCCTCAGAAAGGGCGTTCCTGCACACTCTTATGGGCGTACGTTGCCCCAGAAAGGGTGTTCCTGCACACTCTTATGGGCGTACGTTGCCACAGAAAGGGTGTTCCTGTACACTCTTATGGGCGTACGTTGCCTCAGAAAGGGCGTTTCTGCACACTCTTATGGGCGTACGTTGCCCCAGAAAGGGTGTTCCTGCACACTCTTATGGGCGTACGTTGCCACAGAAAGGGTGTTCCTGTACACTCTTATGGGCGTACGTTGCCCCAGAAAGGGTGTTCCTGCACACTCTTATGGGCGTACGTTGCCACAGAAAGTGTGTTCCTGCACACTCTTATGGGCGTACGTTGCCACAGAAAGTGTGTTCCTGCACACTCTTATGGGCGTACGTTGCCCCAGAAAGGGTGTTCCTGCACACTCTTATGGGCGTACGTTGCCCCAGAAAGGGTGTTCCTGTACATTCTTATGAGCGTATGTTGCCCCAGAAGGAGTGTTCCTGTACACTCTTATGGGCGTACGTTGCCCCAGAAATGGTGTTCCTGTATATACACTCTTATGGGTGATGAAAACCCCACCCTAACACCCCAAGGGTGCCAAACCAGCAGTCCCACGGGCGCCCCAATAGGTGTTGCTGTAACACCCCACTTTCAACAGTGCATTGACAGAAATGTAAAACTTTCATCTTTGTAATCAAACCTCAATGCGCATGCGTATATAGTTAGGACTACGGTATATACTTGGTTTGTAAGTTTGTCTGATAAAAACTCTTTTCCTTGGCTCAGCATTCGTCATCTTCTCTGTGGTTATCATGAATCGTCTCATTGAGTAGGAGAGGGTCTCCAGTGCAGGGAGTAGGTAAACCCAATGATAGAGATAGAGACCACAGTGGAGTCTCATTATTAAGAACACACTTAGTACGAAAATTAATTCTGGATACTACAAACACACCCTCGGAGCCTATAGCCCTATAGAACACTGTGCATTTTCACCACACTTATGACAAATTCCCCTTACCGTGAACAAATTCTTTAGGTCCCCAGCAATTCATTGCAAAGAGGTATGTATTAGTTTCTTGTGATTGGTCCAGATTCTGAAAGTGTTTAGAAGGATGAACTCATCATCTCCTTCATTTGATATGTAGTTAGCTATAATAGATGCATTTGTATTAATGAAGCTATAGTGGCATAAACACGCTAAGGAACTATATAGCTATGGAAATGTCTCTAGAGTCTTAAATAAGCAGTATCTGCATCCAGGAGGTCAAACAACTGGTTGACAAGATCACTGAACTTTGGTCTCTGCATGTCGATGATCTTCCAACCAACACCGTTCCATGACTTGCCATCTGTGCAGGTTGAACTCAATAGGCATATATACGTACGTGGCTACTGTATACTGAACTTTGGTCTCTGCATGTCGATGATCTTCCAACCAACACCGTTCCATGACTTGCCATCTGTGCAGGTTGAACACAATAGGCATATATACGTACGTGGCTACTGTATTCTGAGATCGTGAGATGGCAGCATGCAGAGTATATATAGTGCCATTCACAAAACATTAACACTAGTGTGTATTAGAGGATGTGATGTCTTTTGTTAGCTATTATGGAGCTTTTCCACTTCATTATCACAAAATCAGAGCGTCGATAGACGCTCTGTAATAATCGGGATGGCGCGTGTGAAATCTCACGTGATCCGCGTACAAAAAACTCGGCGAGAATGACTCACCATGGCTTGAAAATCACTAGCAATAGTCTACAGGCCAATATCTAGATGCCCCTAAGACTTCCTACGTGCCCTCAGTTCCGAGGAACCACTGGGAGCAATCTCACCGCATGGCTGTTGTAGCTATGTGGTAGAGAACTATACTCCAATCGTGTGTCGTTGTTTGATGAGTGCTGCAAGTACGTCAGGTCGTTTGGCAAGAAGGGGAAGAATGATGGAGAGTTTGACGATCCATATGCAGTTGTCGTCAGTCCTGAGGGTTGTGTGTGTGACACGAACAATGATCGAATTCAGCTGTTCAAATGAAAAACTGCATACAAAAAGAACACTTTGAGGTCTTTTTGTATCATAAATTAATATAAGCCAACCCTACTGTATAGAAATGACTCGTGAAAACACACTTTTTTGCATATTATTTTAACCCTTGGGGGGCGTGCATGGACTGAGAAAAGGGAGTGAACCACTGACTTTGCCCATATAGTGCACTGTAAGCACATGAGGTTATACTCGAGGGATGTATATAATATAATATATAATTATACTATCTACTGATGCAGCAAAACAGTTTCCATGCATCTTGTCTTTGCACACGCGCTTTCAATGGTTTACATTTCAGCTGATATGCATGCAAATACAGCAATGAAGTTTATACAGTTAGCTGCTATCCTAGCTGTTATATTAATGCCGTTCCAAATTGCGAATTTGCAATATTTATTCAGCACTTAATTACAAGAGTTTACAGTTCGTCATTACAGCAGTCAGTTACTATAGTCGTGTTCACAAGTTGTATCTCTTGGTGAGTGAGATTTAGTGGAAGGAGTTCGTCCCCACTGGATTCCCATCAACGATTGTGTTGAGTCCGACATCGGCCGTCACGACAGTGTAATACCACCCGGAACGCAGGATGGTGAAGATGGACTCAATCTTCCATCCGTCGTTTCCTCCATTGTGCACGACGATCTTGTTAATGTCGGCCTTGGTGATGCAGCTCTTTTTCAGCTTGAGGTCGCTCTTGAGACTGAACTTCCAGAAGTCTCCCTTGTTTTTTAGCATGTCCTTGCCGGGGTTGTTGGGGAACCGAGCGGAGCCCTTCTCATGGTTGGAGAGGTCGACAGACAGGTAGGGTAGGTCGTCTGAATCGGAATGGCTCGATCCAGACGTGAATCCCATCACGTAGATGTGGGTCGCACAGCGTTTTTCTGTGTGAGGAGAAAAAATCTCTTAAAATATCTCTGGGAGAATGGCAGCATAATAATTATACTATTATGGTAACCTAATTGTGTTCTTGCACTGGGCCTTATAGTTTAGTTTCATCTTTAACCCTTAGGTATACCGACACATTCTCTTCCCCTTAAGGCTGAAAGGTCTTTAATGTCTTTACTAATGCTTACGTGCTTGCATGCCAGCTTCATCATTCCTGTCTTCGTCCTCCACCACCATCATCATCATCTCCTCCCCTCTGCTGGATCATTCTCAGCATGCCTTCCAGATTTGAATCATCTTCCTCACCATCATCTGAGTAACATGCCACAATAGGGCATGCACGTTAGCTAAATGAACAAGAGAAAAGAGAGCAGTATTAAACCTGACTGAGATATCTCTCCATACTCTTGTTCCTTGTCCTCATCCATGGCGGGCTGGGGATAGCACAAGGCCAGAGGCATTAGCAGGGCCAGGAGCACGAGGAAATAGCTTGCGTTCATAGCCGAGGAAGAAATCATTTTCCCTTAGTTGCAGCGAGCAGTTTTGCCGATGACGGCAAGGAGAATGCGCGCCCTTTTTATACTGCGCCATCCCCGATGCGGCCCGAGGGGGCTCTGTGCATGTGCACCACTGCCTGGAGCCTGCCCTGGTGGTACGTTCCCTGCTGTTTACCGGTTCGGTCTCCCCTTTGGCCCTGGGCTTAACTTCCTGCGGAAGGTTTCAGGGCAGCCCGATGCCCACGTGCGGGAAGCTGGAGTTTAGATGGAAATAGTAGCTAGCTAGCGAATCCACGGGCCACCACACCTAATTAATCGTAGCTCCCTTTCGACCACGGTTAAGCAAGGAGACTATGGCATTTTACCTGTTATGTCATCATATTTGCATATGAGTAATACGTTGCTTGTACCTTAGGAACCCAGCACTATATAAACGAATAATACAGCTACGTCACTTTCCATTTCATGGAAAATTCTGAGTAGCTAATATATTTGGCCCCTGCTCTCTACAAGGATTTTTACGTGTGTGTGTATGCATTGCGCATGCTCAGTTTCTCTTAGCTCATTTCCTGTTCTCCGTGTAAGTGTGCATGTTAGTGTTGTAACAGAATCTGATCTATTGGTACACGCAATCTGCGCTAGCTAGCGACTCCTCGTGGACAGTGGGTCCGCCATGATATCACAGAGTGCATGCTCCTAAGCTGCCCAGACCGCTGCGCGTGCGCGCATGACTGACTCCGCCCCCCTGAAAGTGCTGAGTTGGCAGTATATTGGGGGATTTCCATAACACAAACGGCAGGAATGGGTCTTTGTGTGAAAGGTGAGTGGTATACTGTATGTTTCACCCAGTCACCTCGTATGCTGGGTGCCACATTCATAATTGCAGTCTCAGTATCTATATGCTTGAGCCAGAAGAATCTGTCACCCGCTGTAGCTCACACACTCAGATTTACTATGTGACTGGGCAGCATGGTTACACCACGTTTGCTAAATACTGCAGGGTTGCACAGGCAAGCAAACTGGAATACACCATTGAATCGCTTCAGCATCCCATTTTGGTTGCACTCATTGGAGGCAGAGTAATATAGCTTCGGTCTTCCGATTTCACTGAACCTCTTCTGCCTCCATGCAGCTGGAATGAGTAGTTTCACATAGTTTTGAATAGCTGATGGTAGCTAATACGGAATCAGTGTTTATTCCATACAATCCCATTATAACTTCAAACACACAGTCATAAACTTCATTTTCTCACATGTGCAGGAAAGAAGGATAGCATTCCTCACCACAACTGGTTCATCATTTTTGGTTTACTTCAAGCACTTGCTTACGCGGTCTTTATTATGTTTACACCGTCAATCTATCAGTTTGTCACGACACAAAATAACTCCTCCGAGGAATTGGAGGTAATTTGTTTGCAAGACACGCCCCCTCACATACAATCCAGGCCAAAACTCTAGTTGAAAGTTTTTTCTCTGTGCATGCATGCCTTGCTTTGATCTCGTTCATGTCACATGTATTTACAGGAAAGTGGCTCCAACCCATTTTGGCCTGGATTGGGAGGTTCTCCGAGAGACTATGCCTGGGTCTCGGTGTCATTTGCACTGTTTCAAACTGCTCTCTTCCCTCTTCCAACCCTCCTGATGGACACACTGCCATACACTCCTCTCATACTCTTCACGACGTTTCTCTACACCATCAGTGGAGTGGTGTATGGATGGGCCACCAGAGTGTGGATGGTGTTTATTGCTCGTGGTCTGATGGGTTCTGCAGCTCTTTTCGGATCCTCTGTAATTTACACTTACATCGGTGAAATTGGGACGTACATGGATAGGTCTCGACGGAAGATGGGAAAGAAACCCATGAAAGATGTGTTGTACATTGCAAACACACTTGCCTCAAATGGATGGTACTTTGGTTTACTCGGTAAACAATCTTATACGCACCAAGTTCTAAATGTGGTCAGTAAACCCCTTAAGTTTAGTTGCTCAGTATAAAAGGATGGTAGCTAACGGAGACATTATTATACCACCATGAATCGCAGCCCTGAACTCTTATCCCACACTTAGCCCTAACACGAGAATCTGCTTTTACATGAGGGTTGGTAGTTCTATTAGCTTCACTATGTTTGCTCTGTGTCACTCACCTATCTAGGATGCATTGCTTTTGGGTTAACCTCTACCTGGAAAAACATTTGGGTACTGGGGGAATGCTACAACACTTGCTGAATATTCAACATTGCTTGGCTCACAGCAGAGGTATGCAGCTGGAAGCTAAACCGAGTAGCTGCAGTTTGTGCATCGACTTACTAGTGTAGGATAACTGCCATTGCATGTGTAGACCTTTTCTGGGGGAAATGTAGGAGTATACAAGTTTATAGCAATGTTACATAATATTAATCAACTCTATCTCACTCACATACTACACCATGAAGGTATTAACGCAGCGTTGGTGAGGATTCCCTCAGTGAACCCCTACCGTCTCCCAGGATGGTTCCTGGTATCTCTGAGTCTGACAGTCGCAGTCCTTGTGGTCCTCTTCTTCACAGAGCCCAGACCATGGGCCTGTAGGAAGGCCAAGCACTGTAACTTGAAATCTAACATGTCCTCACTCAAATACAGGTCCAACTCCAGGAGCTACGTACTAGTATCCTTAACTAGCAACACATTTGCATGCAAACACCAGTAATTCAATATTGCGTGCGAGTATTTACAATCACGTAAAACATAGCTGTAGTGCAGTGCCTGTCACATTATTAATCAATTAATCAGGACTAGGTAGGCTCACATGCATTATATATATAAGAAGAAAACTTTGAACTTTCCTTCACTTCCTGGTAGTGTGTTTTGTTTGTATTGTTGAATTCTTACGTTACTGGACAGGCTCTCTCTGTGGTGTACACACTTGCCTCCCCCATCCTCAGCGATCAGTTTGGGTTTACTGTTGACAATACTGCTCTCTTCTTTGTGGGGCTGGGGGTTGGGGGCTTTGCCTCTGTTATTATTCAGTGAGTTCTTGTAACAGGAAGTACATTAGAGAGTCGGTAGACTCTCTATATAGGGATGACACAAGTGGAAAAATCATACAAGTGGAAAAATCATTTCTTCAAAATGAAAGGGGGATATAGGGATGGCTTGAAGCACCAAAAAGGAAGAAACAAGGGGTCATTACACAGCAAAGTTGCACAAAGCTACATGACACCATCCCTATATCTTTGTTTTATTGTTTATAAGCAAAGTTTAATATCAAACAATATCAAACAAAGATATAGGGATGGTGTCATGTAGCTTTGTGCAACTTTGCTGTGTAATGACCCCTTGTTTCTTCCTTTTTGGTGCTTCAAGCCATCCCTATATCCCCCTTTCACTTTGAAGAAATGATTTTTCCACTTGTATAATATGCAGTATTACAGCAAAGGTTTGGCAAGCCCAGGCTCAGCTACACTTATGTTATGTGGAATGACAAACTAGTATAGGAATAGCAATTTCTGTTTAGTACGATTGTGTGTTATAATTTTCTTCCAAGGTTTTCTGCAAAAGCCCTGAGGTGCAACAACAGAGTGATGGTGGGGCTGGTGTTTGTGGTGATTGTGATTGGATGTTCAGTGATGACTGACTGGCAAGCAATTAATGTGGAAGACCCCTGTAACTTTTCATCTCTAATGAACAATGTAACAACCAGTGATACTGGGGAAGCTAGCTTTATAGACGGCAACACGAATGAGTCGAATGTGACTATATTCCAGTTGTTAGTAGAGAACTGTGAGGCTAGGAGTACCTCTGGGTACGAGTGTTTCTGGAATCCTCATTCTCGTGTGACTGGAGATCAGTGTAACACTTGCTATCAAGGTTGCCTCAGCCTCCAGACGTCTCTCACCTTCTACCAGTACACTGTCGGCGTGTTTCTAGTATCTGTTGGAGGAACTCTGGAGTACATCTTCAATTTCGCACTCTTGTCAGACATAATTCCTCCGGAAAATCAGGTAAACTCTTAATCACTCTTTGGCTAGCGAAGCGTGTTCCGTCTGAATGCAGGATTTTATGTATATAGCTATGTAACATCGGGCACTGGACATACCGTGGTGTTGAATGTGATTCACTAAACACCCACTTCGCTCGCCAAAAATGCATGGGATTTCTTCAAGTAATGATTGTTATGATGTCAGTAATCATTTCTATTTCCAGGGAAGTATCACAGCCTTCACTATAGGATGTGGAGCTCTGTCTAGAGCAGTGACACCATTCTGGTGTAAGTTTTACATGAAACAGGCTATTGTACAGTAGCTAACCGGATTAGCTAATAACTTGTTTTGTGCAAATTAATGCTATACCGCCATCGTGCAAAACAGTGATAATAATAATGGCACCAATCTGGATATTGCCCATTACACACGGTGTTTAGCTACTTTGTTCAGAAATAAGTTGGGTAAAAGCTATAAACACACTATAATTATGCATTACCTTATGATTTTGAATGCAGATGTTGAAAGCTATGAGCAGACGGGCAAGCACACCTTCCTCCCACTGATAATCACGATGGCAACCTTCTTGATTGCACTTGTGGTTCTTGCAGCCCTCTATAAAGACCTTGCTCCCAGAAACACTACGACTGAGTCTGAGCCACAGCATGCATCTAATCCTTCTGCACAAGAACTACAATCAGTAACAGAAATTAAAATGTAAAATGTGCTTTTGTTCATCCATCTTTGGAGTTTCTTATGGTATAATGATATGAATTATTTTTACATCTACATAATTATTTCCAGACCATTTTCTCTACGCAGCACCTAGCTCTTTTTGTAAGCTATATACCAGTAAGCTACCTCATAATGGAGTTTTCAGGTGTGCACGAAGCAAGCACCCAACACATAGATGAATATTATGACTGAGTAGAAGGCTGATCACGGGTGCGCAGTGCTGCGCTCGCGCATTGCGGCACATACTACATCTATGTGGTGTAATAGTAACATGCGTTTTGCTGTTTGTTTGCTAGTTATACTGCTTTGTGTACTATGGTGGTGTTTTTGTGTCCCTGCCTACCCAACTAAATTTCACTACAAAAAAGCGTAAGCTTCTAATGTGTCATGATGCCTGCTTTGTCAGGTAGATGTGAATAAAAAAAATGTTAGTCACAACCAACAACTCTACTCAAAACTTCTACTTTAATCGCCTCCTTCGCCTTTGGAACTCTCTCCCTCCTCTTGACATGAGTCAATCAATGACAACTATAAAAAGTAAACTCCACAAACATTTTTGGAACCATTTCACTACGAACTTTGATCCCGACAATGTGTGCTCTTTTCACTACCTCTGTCCTTGTGCTAAATGCTGGTCACTCCCAGTCTCCTCCAATTTTGACTCTTCTCTCCTCTAAATAATTAAGTATATAATTATTGTGTTTTATTAGGCTGCTGGTTTAGACCTTACACATTTCATCTGCCCTGTCTGCTACTGTTACCTCACTAAGTGCTATAAAGTCATCATAAATAATAATAATAGAATCAGAATCAACCCAATGCACATCAGAGTGATAATTAGTAGATGCCATTTAGTCAGTGTTGTTCATAGTTGAAAATTCATTTCTTCAAAAGGGGCCGCTATGGGATGGCTCAAAACAAACCTTTGTTCTATTGATTTATTATAATTATAGGCAAATATGATCAGACAAAGATATAGGGATGGTGTCATGTAGCTTTATGTGTCTTAGCTGCGTAATGACCCCATTTTCTTTCCTTTTTCATGTTTTGAGCCATCCCTATATCCCTTCATTTAGAAGAAATGATTTTTCCACTTGTATAGGTATGTCAGCTAGCTAGTAGATGTGAATACAGGCACGAGCATGGGCAGTTAGATGATGCGCCTCGCTCTGTATGGTGTCGTCTACTCCTGTTTGCTGTCAACCAGTTCAGGAGTGTGGATGTTCAACAACCTTGTTTAGCCATGGCATAGGAGCTATGTAGCTACTATGTTTTTGATCGGAAATTCATTCAGTCTATGGTCAATGATATGACAATTTTTCTATTCAGCAACGTTTTCCTTGTCTCGCCATACATAAAAACTGTTCGATATAAATGAGTGTTTCCTTTTTTGCATAATCATAACATGACCAACCAGAGAGTCACGATAAACAGCTATATAACATCCCTGGGAACAAATGCTGAATGACAGGTCTTGTAATAAAGAGATCGCGTGCAGGCACGCAGTTGCCTGCAAAGAGGAGCAAGTATCCCAAGTGCTACCTAAAAGAGTGACGTAAACTACGTAGCTACGGTGGTGCATGTAGTGCAGTCTTACTAAATGCATTTGATTCAGGATTTTCACTTCCCGAGTTACTGGTGGGCCATAGCTTTCACCCACTTCTTTGCTGCGCTGTTGTAGCTACCTCCTACGGTATTTTGTGCTAGCTAGTTTAAATAAGCTACGGAGATGGTTATTCCTTCAGTGCCTGCGATAGTGTTTCTGTTTTGCTGTGGGCTATCTTTAGGACAGAGGTGAGTTTAATACTTAACCACGGGTGTCAAGGAGCTTAAAATTAATGTTCTATATAGGACATGTACTACTGTTGAAGTGAACTATGTAGCCTCATCAAGCATAGTTTACTACCGTGAGTCATACTACCGATGTGAAGCGTTTGAGTGGGGCTGGACTAATTGCATTCATGAACAAACCTACAGGTATATAATATTATAGCTAATCCTGTGTAAAAACAACTACTACAGAGGTCGTACACATGTTGAGGTAATATTGCCTAAAGGAAAAATAATTATTATGCAAGGAAGGTTGATTACAAGTGGAAAAATCATTTCTTCAAAAGGGGGATATAGGGATGGCTCGTCCCAGGTATACTATGGGAAATCAAGTACCTCGTGTGGACCAATCAGATTGCTCGATTTAAACCAGCTATGCACTAAAATCACGCTAGTGGAGCACTGAACCCCTTGGAATTGCCCTTTGACAGGCATGTTGTACTTGATGACATAGTTTACTACTCAAGTTTGTCATGAGTATATTATAGATTGTCTCCACACATGAAATTTACTTTTTCCTTACCACTACATGCTTCCGAGAGCTTGCTTTGTTTTTGTAGGACAAGATCCAGAGTTGTATATCACCAAACATCGGTCTACCACATCAGCTGCTGTGGTGGGTACAGTGGTACCGGATGCGAAGGTATGTTATTAACTAATTAATAGGATAGCAATTGAGCTGTGCATAGAAGGTGTATTTATGAAGGTAGTGCATGTTAAGATGGCCATGAAGGTTATGGCACAGCATTAATAGTGCTGTGTTTTTATTACAAGCTGTGTGCTCTCCTGTATGCCAAAATGGAGGCACATGCTCGTCACCAAATTCATGCTCATGTCAAAGTGGATGGATGGGAAGTATATGCACACAAGGTATGTATAAAGCTCAAGATAAGGTTTGACTGTGTGTATTATCTGTGTGGTTTGGCTGAAAGCGCGATGTGTGTGCACGCGAGTTAGTCAGAATGGTGGATGGTCTGGATACTTGCACTAGCAACAATATTCTGTTACCTTGGCCTCTAGTGTGAATGGACCGGATTTAACTTGTCATGACCACAGCGTATTTCCTTGTGTAATAAATGTGGTAGCTCAATTCACTGTTACTTAAACCTCTCTAGCGGTTTGCTTTCCGAGTTGTCAAAATTGGTGGGAACGTTGCTCATTCTCCAAGTTTATTCATTGGTTTCGTGCCGCGACAAGATATTGGCGTTGGTTAATTGGGGATATATGCATTAATGGTAAACATTCTGTAACTATATGTGCTCCCTGAATTAAGGGTGTTTTTACTGTCATGCAGATATTGATGAATGTGCTGTGGAAAATGGTGGATTTCTGGTGTGTGTATCACTGTCGTGCCATAATACATGCGTGGAAGCTTTGTTAGGTGTATCGTGTGATCTGGTTAGTGTGCATGGCTCTCATAGATGTAAAAATGAGTTTTTTTTTTTTTTTTCTGAATGGTGAGGTGAAAAGAAGAGCTTGCGTTATAAATTACCCTTTGCACCAATGCACTGTAAAAAGTCTTGTCCACTGCATGATTATTGGCGAGCAAAGCAACCCTACCCACCCACTGGATATGTAGTAGGGTTTAGGAACAGCACTGCTTGTCCTAAAAGCAGTTAGATATTGAGGGTGACAATGTCTATAGACCACTGAAATTTTGAAATCGTGCATTTGCTTGCCACCATTGCAGCAGTTTTTATGTTGAATGGGTACTGTCCATATCATAATGAAAAGCACTAAAGTGCAAACCCTCGGCGAACTGCAGTTATATACCGCTAATTGATGGGCTGGGCTATAATAGTATGCGTGGTCTCTAGCTTGTAGATCGGAGAGCCTGATTCGGGCTAGCGACAGTATATAGTAGATAACATGCGGGAGTTGACACACGCCCTTCGTTGCAACCTCTCTTGTGCCTTCAACCACGCCATAACTCGCGAACGCAGTAAGAACTTTTAACGAAAATCGCCAAATTTAAAATCAAGCAAGTGTGGCGCTAAACCTATTGGTATCGCTCTTTTGCTGTCTCTTTGCGCGTAGTGGCAGAAAACGTGGTAACAGACACACACACAAACGGACAAGTACCGCCTCGCTGCGCATGCGCGCCGAGGGTTAATGTATGCCTGGCCGTTGAGCACTTGCGTTCTATTGCAAACTCTGATTTGTAACCTTCATAGATTTAGATTGTCAAATAACCATTTCAGCCTCAGGGTACACTGTTTCACTATATACAGCTTTTACACCAGCAAATTTGCTATGTATCAAAACCTAGAAGGACACTTAATGACGAACGCATTATAATAATATATTATTATGTTGGAAAACATCGCACCATGTATAGTACTGCTATTCTCTCTTACACAAATCAGCTCATTTACTAGAGGGACCTACAGAGATATGTCCTGGAGATGACGTTGCACTCACATGTGTGGTTGATAGTCCAGTCACTACTTGGAATGTCAGCTATGCAGGAGAGAATGATGCTTGCCAGTAATGAACGTGCTTCTCAAGTCCCAGACACTTGTGGACCAGATGGAAGGTTTAGATCAGCTCAAACCGAAAGCAGTGAGGATGACACAAACTCTTCTCTCACATTAATCTCAGTATCCGAGGATCTCAATGGAACACTAGTCAAATGTACTAATGGTGATAATGGTTCTATTATTGGCTACTATGACATCTGTATCGTAGGTAAATGATTTGTATGTACCTATACATAATATGCACATTCAAAATTTGATAGGAATGGCCACAGCCCCGCCTCTCAAAGTTGAAGTTGGTATGTATACTGAAGTGGGCTGTGTTCTAACAGTGGGATGGAGTCCACCTTCCATCAGTTGTACTGGGTCTGTGTCACAGTATGTGTTGTCAGTGACTTCGTCTACCACCAATTGTCAGTCATTTCACGACTGCAAAGTCGTGGATGGTAGTTCAGTGTACAGAGTACCTGGTAATGAGACCCAGTATAGTCTCACTGTGGCTAGCAAGGACTACCACAACATCACTGTCAGAGCTGAAACATGTAATAATACTATTGTTGGTGACATCAGTTCTACAGGCAGAGTGAACTTGAAAGGTAGCTAAGATTTATGTGTTCTCTGTTACGTTTTGATCAATATCGAACATTACTAGCACTACAGAGGGAATCCCACCTGTTTTCCTACCATTATCTGTACAGTATAACTGAACTTTACGCCATAGACTCTATTACAGTCAACTGGCCAAG